TTCCTGCATTACTCTTTCTATATAGTCGAACATATCTTCTTCTTTGCTGAGAACCTTGACTCCCGAGACATCTGTGCACTCCTCCCTTGCTCTGTAATGTGTCAGATATAGTTTCGGATTTCTTTTGCCTGTAGCCATACAGAAAGCAGAAACACCTTCTAAATAGGTTTGGCATTTCCTTCTTAGACGTCAGATGCTCTCTCTGCCCAAGATGGAGTGTTTGCAGTTAAACCACAGTTTCCTAAGTGACTTGGTCTATCTCTCCCATCCCAACTTTGCATCACTGGGTTTCTGATTCTCATGGCTCATACAACTGAAACAATCTGCATCGTTTTTTTCATGACCCCCAATTCAAGGGAATCCTGTTCATCTCCAGCTGTATAGAACAGTGTACAGAGTCTACAAAGAGCTACCAGCTGTCATCCTTTGTCATGACACTTCAACCTGCCACCTGGTCACTGCACCACCCAGTCCTCTTTTGTATAGAAATCATCACTCTTTCCTGGCTTATTTGCCCTGGTGCTGTTTTCAAAAAAGCTTTCCATTTAGATCTTGCAGCAACAACAGCAGCAGCAGCAAAGCAACAAAAGGTGGTCTGCTTTACATACTGAGCTGACTTTGTTGCTGGTGGGGGGGGTGCACTCTCTTTTACTTTCAAATCCCTTACACCCTGTCTTGCAGTTTTTAATTTAATGATGAAGAAGCCAAAGCTGTGTGCCTGTACCTTGCAAACTTTTGTTCCTTGCTAAACTGGCCTGTTTCGTGCACTTGCAGTTTGGACAACACTGAGGAAGATGTCCTGCAGTGCCAACCACAGTGATAGTTGGGTGCAGTTTTCAGTGGTACACATATGGAGTGCTGATACTGAATGTCTTCAGATTCCAAGGCACTCGTTGTCTTATTCTTTTTGAAAGAAATATGTACCCTTCTTGGCATGACATATAAAACTTGTATCAAGGTGAGGTACAAATTTCATAGCATAAAATGAACCATTTAAAAATGTTTTTATTATACTTATCACAGATGATATTTGCAAACCCAGCCTTCATCCCCATCTAATTCCAAAAAAAAAAAAATTCCATCACCTCTCCAAATTGAGCATGGGTGAATTGAGCAGACTCTTTTACTATCAGCCTTGTCCAAACAACCACTGACCTGCTTGGAGGGGGGATTTACCTGTCTTGACCATTTCCTAGAAATGAAACCATACTCTATGCAGTTGTCTTTGTGTAACTCCTTTCACTTGGCAGATGTTGCCAGGATTCCTCCATGTTACAGCTTGCGCCTCTGTCATGTTCATTTTAACAGCCGAGTAATGGTCCATGGGGACCACACAGTCCTCATTCATTCTTCCATGGATGTGCAGTGTGAGGGGGGTGGAGACTGGCTTCTGCTTCATTCTAAGCCATGTGTTTGCCATATGACCTTGAATACGTCCTCACATAACTGAGTTCCAATTTTCTCATTTGCTGAAGAAAAATATGACATCTAACTCTTCATATTGATGAAATGATTGAATAAGAAATGTCTGAAAAGTGTTTAGCCTCAGTAAGCCTTTTTACCACAAGACTCTATGGTGGGGGAAGGACTATATAAATTTGCGTTATAGTTTGTGATTATTCTCTGTTAGAGTTACCAACCCCCCCCCTGCTTTGTTTTTCAAGAAGAGGCAGATCTGTCTCTTCTGTTTTGTGGTAGGGTGGGTTTAGCCCCCACACCATCTCTTCCCCAACACAGGATTTTACATTTCAGAAGCAGTTCACTAGACAGAATGTCTGTAGTGGAATGTTACATAATTCACATTTAGACTTGAAGAGCTCATTATAAAAAACCTGACACACTTCAGAAATATTAAATTACTGCAGATTGTGTGGAGCAAAGAAACATTATTGAAGCATTTCAAAATTCCAGACGAGCCTGAATTTAACTGATAGGGTTTCACAGCTTTTACTGTGGAAAACGATTTGAGTTGTCACATGGTTTCTGGCCCTGGAGGCCTTTAATCTCCTTAATTACAAAGAAATGAATTTCCTAAATAATTTGGAGTTACTTCACAGAATTCGCTCAACCTCTGGCTTTTGGAAATTTAAAGGAGATGCCAGGCCCTTGCTGTGTGCCTTTTCCACCACATCTTCCCTAGCTAAGTTTCCATTCAGAACGGCTCTGGTGTTTCCCATCACTATTGATACAGGGAGGTACTTCAGAGAGTCACAAGTAATGCTCATAGGACTTGAATGTATCACACTTTGCCAAACAAGAGACTCTGGATGCCCAGGGGAAATGGAGAGGCACTAGATGTTGGCTTTTGAAGTAGAAGGAGAGAAAATAGTCCAAATTTTATCCATTTTCATAGGGCAGCTTTTGAGAATCTTTGAAATTATATAATCCCATGTCTGTGAGCTCCTTTCTATATTTAGGGATTAGACACCTACTGTATACAACACCAGAAGAATGGGACGATCTGATACCCTGCCACTTCCCGTACTTTGTTCATTCTCAGAAAGCAGACTTAAGCTCACTCAGTTTCCCCTCCACCAGTGGTCTCATACTGAGCACGAGGTCTTGATTAAACCACACAAGAAACTCTGGCCTCTTATTTATGAAGTGCTTGTCAAGAGGGTCTACTTGGCTGTCTTTCAGACCTGTGAGGTGTGCTCTCACTCAGTTCTACAGTGACTTTGTTGATTGGGCAACATTAGCTCCATCATCCAGGAGGGAGGGAAACTGAGGCAGGGAAAGCTCAGTGGCTTCCTCAGTGTTACAGGGCTGCCTGGGCAGCTGTCAAAACTCTGAATTTAGCCAAAAACAGTCTACTTTACTAAAGAACTGAGGGTGTTTCCCAACTGGACGATCTTTTTGAAGTGAACCTCAAGGGGTTGGATGAATCTCAGGGCAGACCTAATAGAAGAGAGCCGATGGCAATCAGAGACACAAGGGAGGGGTGGGAAAATGACCTCCCCACCAGTCAACAAACTTTCTGTGAGACTTGAGCTTCCTTTCATTCATTAGATTAGTGAATTCCAGTCTCTTTGCCATTGCACATGACAAGCCTTCTTCCTGTTTAAAAAAATACCCATGCATTTACTTGCATGTTTGTACTACATGTGTTTATGGGGGTCCTTCTCACTGTGTGTTCAACAAAAGGGTTGTTGTTCAGGATCAGGTAGAATATGGCTAATCCCATGGGCAGATTTAATGGAAGTAAACCAAAGTATATGCTTGCTCCTTTCAGCCTCAGCATGCCGGGCATCTGTGTCGTCTTTGGTTCTGGTCATGCACATGTCTTGCTGCTTTCCACAGCACTGATACTTCTGCTAGGTTTCACTTTGTGGAGTAGCAGCAGGCTGCCAGAATTGCATGGTGTTTGTTTACACGCAATTTACACTAGAGTCTAGTAAATATTTATTGCAATAAAGTGATGATATTAAGAGTATGTCAATATGTGACCAATAATTGTGGCTCTGCTGTACCCTATGGGACGTGTCTTTGAAAAGAAGGTGAGGTATGTACAGGATGCTCTAAAGATGATGAAGACGTTCTCATTTTTTAATGTGTGGTTTCAGAAAGTCCATTCTACAAAGGCAATTATCTCTTTTCTTTACCTGTAACATAGATCTTCTAATTCAAGTGCTTACACGCAGAGATAGTATCCTTTGAAAGAAAATAATTAGGTTATTTTTAAAAATCTAACCAGGTATCATTGAATAAGGTGAACACTGCCTCACAATTAAGTTTGAATGTAATTTTATATGGCTTTCATATTAAGCCTTATAGTTAAGCCATCTTTAATTGTCATGATTAAGAGGGCTAGGTCATTATTCTTTTTTTGAGCTGCAACTGGCATTCAAGGCCAGTGCTCTTAGATTAAGCAGTTCCAATTCTGCAGAACGAGCTAAAAATTGGTTGTACGATTTCAAGAAGCGTTTCTAGTATCTTTTTTTTTTCTTCTTAATATCGATAGTGGATAACTAGTGAGATGTTTATTCTCAGTGGATTCTCAGCTACAACTATCAGATAGGGGCTGGGGAAAAACTATTGACAAAGGCAGTTTGTTTATTCAATTTAAATGAGATCTAAGGCGACAGTGCATGTGTAGCATTGAGGTCAGCATATCGAGCGTGTCTAGTAAGTGCATAGTAAATGCTAGCTTTAATTGAAGTATCTGTTGTTGTAATCATTGTCACTCTCGCCATAATGGCATCTATTCTTCATAATATTCAGAATTGTGTAATACATGTTCAGGAAAGATAGAGTGAACAAAACATAGGTCTCCCATTCCTATCCCCTTTCCTTTCTTTCCCCACATTAAATGCTTGTCTGCCCTTACAGCTAAGGGAAAAGCTGACATAAAAATTGGCTTGCTGCAAACTTCCTCAGCCCCATTTGTCACCTTACCCTTGGAGCCCAATTGCATGTCAACTCTGTCCCCTCTGATGCCTGCCAGTGAGGGACAGACTGTAGGTCACTCCCCTATGATCTGCCTTAACTGTTCAGGCTCTGATCAAGCTTGGCTGATGGATGGGTGGCTTGTTGTTGGAAATGTCTCCACGGGGCTGGTCAGGAAATATGTCTTTGTGATATTTTCTGGGTGGCATCTACTGCTTGGCCATCAGGAACATGGGCAACAAAGAGCTAGAGTTTGCTGCTTTTGAAAATTTAAGTTTCTTCGCTTTGCAGAGAATGTGCTCATTCTCATTGTGGTGTAAACCCCATCCACGGCCTCGTAAACTCAGACTGAGAAGAACACATTCGTCCACAAAGGCTAAGATGTTCTTCCTGTTGCATGCTCGCTGGTTCATTTCCTAACATTTCTCGTCAACCCAGAAGGACCATGATTCTGACTATTTTCTTGCTTTGATTTGCAGCACTCCAACAGAGTGAATGACATGCACGGTGTGGGGTGTCCTTTCTGAAGGGAGGAGCCTTTCTCTTGGAGAGGATCCTCGATGAGCCTGGCCGAGGCCCGGGGTCTGTGTGAAGAGGACTAAGGATTAAGTAGGATGTCAACTGAGACAGAACTTCAAGTAGCTGTGAAAACCAGCGCCAAGAAAGACTCCAGGAAGAAAGGTAGGGCTAACCGCACACCCTTCACAAGGCTTACTTCTCTGTGTTAACCCTAGAATGATAGATAAACAGAGCTGGCAGAACTGGGCAGCGGGTGTTGCTTTTATGTTGGTTTTGTACTCATGTTTTGATGGCTATTTTTGGCCAGGAGCAATCCCTAGTTATTCTTGTAAGACACAGGGCCCTTCTGCTTATGTCCTCTAGCCACTTCTCCATCAATGTCAACCCCTGTTGTCCTCAGTCCCCACCTCTGCTCCCACTCCAACTTTCTCCCTGCTGCATTTGTCTTTTGCATACTGCCCTGCTCCTCAGACTCTGACCACAGCAGGCTCCTGAGGGCTGATTACAGCACACTGTGGAGTCCATCCCCAGTAAGTGCCCAGTATCTGCAGACTACACTGCTAATGAGTTCCCAGGCGATGCCAGTCTGGAGGCCACACTGAAAACCATGGAGCCATCAACAGAAAGCCTGTTCTTGTTCATTGCCTTTCCTTCATGGATCAGTACCCGTTATCCAGGCTGGGTTTTATGCAACCTCCTGAGTCTTTTCTCAGTCCCCAATGGAGATGGCAGCTTCTTTGCTTTGCTTAAGTTGCATTTTTGTAGTGTCTCACTTTATTGAAAGTGTCTTCTCTTTTTATGAGTCATCTGGAGTAGCAACTCTTAGAGCTAGTCCCTGTGCTCACCCTAGAACTCTCAGCACATGGGAAGTACATAAGAGAAAGTACACAGATACCAGGTGATGAGGATTGATATGTCCAGAGTCCCTTACAAAGGTCATTCTATTGTTATGCATACTTTGGAGGGAGAGCTGGTTCCATGGCTTTATGAATATGCCTACACCCTTTGGTGGTTAGAAGTGTGCTTATGCTCTCTCTCTCTCTCTCTCTCTCTCTCTCTCTTTCTCTCTCTCTCTCTCCCTTCCTCCCTTTCTTCCTCCCTCCCTTCCTCCCTCCCTCTCTCTCCCTCTCTCCCCCCCACTCTGTATGTGTGTTCCTGTGTGTATCTGTGTGTGATGAATGTTGTGTATTATATGTGTTATGTATATATGTGTGTTATGTGTATATGTGTATGTTGTGGTGTGTGTGTATGTTTATCCCCATGGTGTCAATTCCTCTCTTCTGTCTTCTCAGCTGTATACAAGAAGTTTAGAAGAGTTCTTTCTGGATTTAAAATTTTTGTGGGTTTGCAAATCAGGATGCCCTTGGTTTCTGTGTGCCTTTGGTGATTTGTTGGAGGCATCACTGTGGCTGCTGAGTCATGTTTTGTGATGGCATCTGACTGGCACCTGAGAAGCGCTGGCCATATGAATCCACATTCAGCCCCTGGGCTATCAGGACTCCAGGGCGGACTGTAAATTTTGTGTTTGATGTTTATATGAAACACAAATATTTTCGAGACAGTCTGTTTTATTGCCTGAAACTTCATGTAGACCTTGCTTTTTATGCCTCCCAGTCTGAGAGTAATAGACAAAAAGCAAATGGACAAGGGAACAGGAGAGACTGCCGTGTGGGGAGAAGGTTGTAAAGTCTGGTGGGCTCTAGAATTCAAATGCTTTTGCAGTTGAAGCTGATAAGTTGTATTTTTGCTTCAAAATTAACCTTTCCACTAAACTTATGCTCTTGAATGTTTAATGACTTAAAATTTTATCTTAGAGAGTATTTTAATGTGCAAAACTCAGCAATCTGAAGAGAGCGTTTTTAGGCTTTTCAGCACACTAATTTAAGGATTTGGACGTGATAGAAGAGTTAAGGCGGCCCTTTTACATCCTCCTTACCTTCACTTCCTCAGAATCTATATGGCTAACATAAAATATATTGGAGGAGTATCACTTCTTTCTGAGATTGTGGAGTCTGGGAAGGCAAGCCCCAAGTTCACGTTCTGACTGTGCCACTCCCTCCACTCTTGTTCTTAGACCAAAGGGTCCACCTCCCCAGCCTCATTTTCCTCTCCAATAAAATAAGCTGTGATAGTATATACTCAAAGGCTGACTGTATCAGTTCATTTAAATAAGGCAAATAAAATCTATAGCTTAGAACTTGGCATGTGTTAAGTGGTCAGCCAATACTAACAGGCTATTTTCTAACTGTAATTGATTTGTAAGGACGCTGACTATAGCCTTACCAAAACCATCATAAACGCAACATAAACTGGGCAGGATTCGAATACATTCTGACGTAGCTGATGGGGAGGCCTCTGTCATTAGGTCACTTAGATTCCAGTGGGAAATGAACCACTACTTGATTATGTAAATTGAGGTGGGAACTCACCCACTTTGGGCAGTTCTATTCCATAGATATGGGATCTTGAGAGAAGAAACTGCCAACAATCATTCAGTGGGTCAGGATGAGTTGTGATAGTTGTTGCTAATGGTCAGTTTGACAGAACAGAGAATCATGTGGGAAATGAGACTCTTGATTACATAAGTTGAGGTGGGAACCTACCCACCGTGGAAGGTTCCATTACCTAGGTATGGGATCTTGGACTATGTAAGAGTTGAGAATGTGAGCTAAGCATTAGTGTACATGCATTCATTGCTCTCTTCTGACAGCAGATACAATATTACCGCTGCTTCAACCTTCTGTTGCCTTGATTTCCCCACTCAGATTGACTATACCTTGACCTGTGAGCTAAAACAAACTTTCTCCCTTCTGTTGCTTTTTTTACAATAGGAATTTTAAAATAGTAATAAAAAGAAACTATCATTCAAGCTAGGGCTAGAACCTGGGAATACCTCCTTGGCTGGAGTACTTTCAGCTCAACAGATTCCAAACACCTTCTAGTTTTAGCATTAGCCCCATTGACCTGCCTATCTTTGTTTTTCATACCATTACTTGCAGCAAAGACTTCTGGGAAGAGTTGGTGCTCTTCTTGCATGATAGCCATTTCAGACAAGCTCTCCCTAATGAGCCTAAGTCTTATGGTTGCTCCTTTGCATATACAAGAGTATCAGGAGGCCTGTACATCAGAAGACATGTTTCCATTCATTGGATTGTTGCAGTCATTACAGTGTATACATTCTGTGGAGTTTTCTGTGTCTCAGTGCTATGTGGTCAGAGGAATGAAACATTCCAAGGATTTTACTAGTTAATGGACAGGGACATGGACACTGGAACCAGGTAACCTATGGTGCTACTCTGTCTTGGTAATTGTTTTGTTTGTTTTTTTTCATAATGAAGTAATTGTTTACCTTCTTCACTGACTTTGAGCTATTCACACTTTAAAGTGCTTCAAACCAACGATTTTGTTACAAGATGACATAAATCTCCCTGAGGTTGGTCAGTAAAGCTCATGGAGGCAGGTTTTGGAGAAAGCAGTAATGGATGGTTTCAGGCCAGTCTATCTTGATGGTGAGCCTGGCTCTCCCATCATATGCCGTGCAGTGGGAAGAGGCTTCTGTGTTTTCTGAAATCACTGATCCTGAATTTGTTAACAGATACTGCACTCAGTGTAGTCATTCCCTGAAGACAAATTCATCCCCAGAGGCTGACTGGATGCCTTAGATTGAAACCTCATTCTAATTGATTCTCTTGAAGAAACCTGGGTTTCCTCAAACTGCCATTTGTCCTTCTAGCAGTGTAGCCCATAGGGCAGCACATCAAACCCGTTACCATGTGGTCCTCTACCTCGCTGTAGCTGAGCCACACTGATCTCCCGGTCCGAGGATGTGCCTCTGTGTCTTTAGTGGAGATGGTACCCTTGTGTGGATCATCTCCCTCATCCTGGCCACTTGTTACTCACGGTCACATTCTAGCATGCAGTGACCATTGCACTGGGCCATTATCCTTAACCTTTCAAGCCTCTTTGCATCCTCAGTTAATGAATCACTATTATCAGCATGTGTGACAAGTTGCATGTCTTTCCAACCCATTAATTCTTTATCTCCTAACTGTCCTCTTCCTAAAGGTACTCCAAGCTAGCTCTTATCTCTCATCTGGAATGTTCTGTAGACTCCTAAGTGTGTTCTGAGATTTCCTGTATTAGACATCTCCAACCTTGTGTTGATTTGATCAGGAGATTTGATCATGTCAGTCTGCTTTAAACCTGCAGTGAGAGGTTCCCGATTCCTCAGCTTATCTCTACGTCTAAGAAGCCGTGTGTCCTCGCCCTTCCTTATCTTTCCACGCACGTGCCCTTCCACTCTTCATAATCGTAGTTCATACAGTGGCTCAAGCAAATGAATTTCAATGTACTCACCCCACTGTGTTGCTTTTGCTTTGGGGGATTTGCATGTGCCTTTTCTTCTCCGAGGAAGAAATTCTTCTTTATTTTTTTCAAAGCTAACCCCATGTATGCAGTTTCAAGTTAGATGTTTTTCCTTCTAGAAATACTTGGTGATCTGTTACTCCTCTCCCATCCCATCCTGGGGCTTTCAAACTACTCCTATTAATAACCACAACATGTTAATTTAAGGGGTATATTTTTTCCCTCCTCTTTTCACTTACAAGGCTCAGAATTCTGAAGGAACAGATCTATTCAGTCACTCATCTCTGCACTGAGCACTGAAGTTTCAGGGAAAAGGGATGCAGCAGTGTTTAAAGTATGCCCATACGAGTGCAGAAATGAATTCAGAGCAATAAGGCTCGTCTGCTCCCCTGGTCTGGGTAGGTCCAACAGCATTGGTCACCACTCAGGTTACCACATTGGCTGCAGTTCTGCACTCATCTTTTAACTATTTCTCAGCCTCTACTGTCAACTGTGGGTTCCTCACACAGCACTTGGCACATGGTATAGGTTCAGTCCGTGCTCAGTGAGTAAATTTTCATAAAGTAAGCAGGGGAAGGGCTTGCATAAAGAGAAAGGAAAAGAAAATAAAAAAGAATACAAACATCTTTCAGAAGCACTTTGCCTCCTGAGGTTCTTGTTATGTGACATTCAAAATTCTTGCCATTCCGGGAGTTTCTCCTCCTGTCTGGATGTGTGTCCAATCATGTCTGGTGCTGTAATTTAGCATGATGTGGCCCATATTGGTAGTAAGAGCTATACGATTTGCTGTATTAGTT